GGGATCCTTGCTCATGCCTAGCAGACACATCTCAGGAAGGGTGGTTCTCTATTCCCAGGGCTTCAGGATGACTTTGTACCCCTGGGCAGGAGAGTGAATGGAGAAGACAAGGCCTCAAAAAAAGGCCAGCCTGTGGTACCCACAGAAGAAGTAGAGACAAAGGGAGAAGGTTTCAAAAGGAAGTGGTGCCTGAAAACTATAAACTTAACAGAATGTTGCATCTGGCCCCAACTGTAGAAATGTCCGGCATACTGTCTATGCAGAAATGAGAAAAACCAATTCCTGAAATTCTTTTTTTTAAGATTTTCTAATTTATTCATTTGAGAGAAAGAGAGAGCACATAAGCAGGGGAAGGGGTAGAGGAGAGGGAGCAGCAGACTCCCCCTCTGAGGCTGAGCAGGAGCCCCATGTGGGGTTTAATTCCAGGACCTGGAGATCATGACCAGAGCTGTAGGCAGACACTTAACCATCTGAGCCACCCAGGCGCCTCCAATTCTTGAAATTCTTGTTGTGAACTGTCCTGCGAATGCCAAAATTATTCATCAAGTTCAAGAAAAGTTTAGTAAAAGCTAGAGGGGCAGTTTCTTTGCAGTGCAAAAAAAAAAAATGCACAGGAAATAGATGATTCAAAGGAAATGTGATTTGGGAAAAAGCCAATGGGTGTCGTCATTTTCTGTATTCACAAACTTGAGTTTTCAGGAAAGCCTTAGCGTGTGTGCCCCCAAAAGCCGAGGGTTAGGGGTAGTTTCATGTAGCTGGGTCACAGTGTCTCTGAGGACCCACAGCAGAGAGGGCAGATCATAGGGTGTTTCAGGTATCAGGTCAAGAAGCTGTGTGTGTGCGTGTGTGCGTGTATGGTGCGTGTGTGATGGGGGAATCACACAGAGACGGAAGCTGGGGAGCAACAAAATTATATCTACATTTTAGAAACACCACTTTGCACAAGGAAGATGGGGGTGGGGAGGTATAGATTAGGCAGGAGCCTTTTGCAGTGACCTAGGCAAGGCATGATGGCTGATGTCAGAGAGTAAGTTCCAGAGAGATCTTGTCCAAGATAATTTTCTGTGAGGGGGGAAATGTCCTATAGATGCATTGTGTAATATGGCAGCCACTAGCCACATATGCTTAGCTTACTAAGACTTGAAATTTGGCTGGTGTGACTGAAGAACTGATTTTATAATTTAATTACTTTAAATTTAAGTGGCTAGTGGCTACCATATCAGTGCAGCTCTGGAGTCCAGGTCTGAGTGGGTGGTGAAGCCAACAAGGGAAAGAGAGACAACAGAGAGAATGGGGCTGGGGTATTTGGGTGGCTCAGCTGGTTTAAGTGTCTGCTTTTGGCTCGGGTCACAGTCTCGGGGTCCTGGGACTGAGCCCCGTGTCGGGCTCCTTGCTCAGTGGGAAGTCTGCTTCTCCCTCTCCCTCTGCTGTTCCCCCTGCTTCTGTGCTGTCTCTCAAATAAATAAATAAAATTAAAAAACAAAACAACAACAACAAAAAACCCCAGAGAAAACAGGGAACAGAGAGGAGCTCTGCACAGGTGGAGGTGAAAGAATGGGGCCCCGGGAGTGCAGGGCCTCTGGCAGCGTAGATAGCTGGTATCAGAGAAGGCTCACTCAGCTGCCCACCTGGTCCCCGGGGCCTGCCACTCTACCCGGTCACAAGGAGCCCCTCCAGAAGTCCAGGAGCAAAGAGCAGCCCTGCAGTATGAGTAGGGGTGGGAAGAGGAGATCAGTCCAGTTCTCAGTGGTGGAAATACTGGCCCACAGGGCTATAGGCTCAAGGGAAGCTATTGCAGGCTGCTCTGCCCTGGGGAGTGGGGTAAGGAGGCCTCCAGGGGCAAGCAGTCAATCTGAAACCTAAGCCATCTTGGGATCCACAGAAACTGAAAGGGTCACTCTGGCCTGGTGAGGACTGGGGCCTAGCAGCCTCCGGCCAGCTCCAGGGAACTTCTCCATGTGCTAGGGACAGGGGAAGTAGTGGTGGGAAGGGAGGTGAGTGGGGAAGGGGGTGACCACCCTTTATCTTTAACTTAGTCTTTGACCTTGGGAGGAGGCTGTCACCGCTTAAGCTGGGATTTGGCCAAGGACACATGGCCAGGTTCCCAGGGGTAGCAACAACAGGAAGCTGGGTTGGCCAGCCTGCCCCACCCCCAGCAGCCGCCTCCCCTGGAAGGCATCTCTTCCCAATTTCTGGTCATGCTGTCTGAGCACCACTCCCCAAAGAGAACACTTAGGTGCCCCTTCCTTGACCTCCCTTGCTCTCACTCTTTTTAGACCCGGAAGTTTCTCCTAATTTTATCTCACCTTTTCTAACCCAGCTTACTTTCCTTTGCCCTGTCTTCACCCACGCTGAAGAATCATAAAACATCCCACCATAACCTCTGCCCCACTCAGCCCCTCCAGATCCAGCATGGGCTCTTTTCCTCCTCAGAAATACTGCCCTCCTTCCTGCCTCTTTTTTCCTTCTCACTCCTCCAGACAACCATACAAGGGGGATTCAGCCTTTTTTGAGCCACAATCCCCTTTAGTAGTCCAGTAATGCTGGAATGTTCGTAAATGCATAAAATATATAAGAAATGGATTATCTTGAAAGTTGCCAAAGTATCAAAATAACCAAATGCATGATACGTAATACATGATAAATATGTGTGATACAGTAAAACATTAAATAATAAGATCTAGTGGTAGATTTAATAACTAGCTTAACTTCAAAATCCCGATGAGCATGAATGATTTTGAAGGTACAATGCAAAGACTGTGGTGTGGTAGGAAAATACCTACTGATACTATCATGGGTTGTGGATGACATTTACAATATGAAAAAATGCTAAATTTCGATTAAGGTCAGTGACAATAAAAATGCATGTCTCTCCCTATCCAAATGCACAGACCTCTAAACTCTACCCCCAAACCCCAGGTTAAGAACCTCCGACCCTATTGTAGAGATGAGAGAAAAGTGTACAGTGTTTGGATTCCCCTTTTAAATTCCTGACAGTAGAAATTGAGAAAAAAGGTTTTATATTACAGAGTGAAAAAGGGAGGTACGACAACCTGAAAATTTTCCAGCCTTTTCAGGTGGAGAAGATGACCAGAGATGTATCAGCATCCTTCCCAAATTCGGCCTCCAGACTTTGGATGAGGCTTAAGCAGCCAGGTGGGGGCAGGGCTGGGAGTGACTGCTCTGCTCTGCTGGGACTTCGTGTAGGAGAGAGCTGCATCCTTGCTGGATCATCTCAAATCCCCAGGTACTGTTATGCTGAGCACTATTCCCATTCTTCCTTGACTCCACCCTCAATTCTCAGCACAGCCTCTTCTCCTAAAACAGCTTTGAAGCTAGCACTGCACTGGCCTCTGGCCAGAAAACCAGGTTTTCAGCAAGTGGAAGGTACAGAGCCCACGTCAGGTGTTGCTCTCAGTCCTCAGTCTCAAAGCTCTCCACAAGGACAGGACTGGAGCCTTCGTCTCCTCAGCCCAGGGTCTGGGCTTCCAGAGAGAAATTCCACAAGAGAAACAAAGAGCGGTGCAGATTCAGGTTCAAAAAGTCCTCTTTAGGACGGTGGCCTGGGAGATGGGTGCAAGTCTGGTGTCAGTGTTCTCTGACTGGGGGGGGGGGGGGAAGGGGGGGAGTGTCTCCCTCCTAACCCCAAGGCCACTTCTGGTCTTATCTGCTCTTCTTCACAGACCAGGGTCCTGGTCAGGAAGAGTGGAGATTTCCAGTTGCGGTGGACAGACTGATTTTGAGATGCAAACTGAGCCAGAGGCCATGTTCTGTGGTAAAAGTTCCCAACATTTGTCACACCTCCCCAAGGCACAGCTACAAACCCTGGTCTAGTCCACCCCCCCACCCCCCGCTTCTGCGGCCAACCCTAACAACTGGTACACAAGCTGGAAATTGGCAATGGTGGGAAGATCTGAAGGATTCCTGCAGCTCTGGGCCTCTAAGCTGTCAGGAAACAACGCCCCTCCCCGGCACCTGTGAGCTAGGTGTTGCACACGCTGGTGGCTTCAAAGGCTTCAGCCACCTTTCAAGGTACCCAAATACACAATTTAAAAAGCAGCCTGAAGGCAAAGATATCTCTCCCTTTCCCAATTCAGCAGTCCTCCGCAAGCCCCCGCGGAAGCTCCCAGAAATTCTGGAGCCTGTAGCATTTTGCAATCGGCGACACAGCCCAGAGCCCAATTTCTCAACCTGTAGAGGCCGCACCCGCATCTCCGGGGCGGGCAGTGCCAGGAAACCCCAGCAAGCCCCAACCTGCTCAGAATTAACGGGAGCCCAAGGATCCCGGTCCCGGGGCCCCTCCCCAGGCAGGCACCTACCCTCCAAACTGCGAGACCCAGCCCGAGGCCCGGGCGCTGGAATCCAGCCAGACCGCTGCGTTCTGGGAACCACGGCCGCCCGCCCCCCCGCCCCCAGTTCAGGACCCCCTAGGCCACGGTGGAGTAGAGGACAGGAGACTGTGCCCAGGGAGGGGGCAGAGAAAGGAGGGAATAAACACAAGAACACACGCAGGGGGAGGGGGCGTCCCGAGGGCGCGGCAGGCGTGACAATGGGGGATCCCCCTGCAAGGTTCTCAGGCCCAGCGCCGGCGCCCCACTCCCCGCACTGCCCTCCGCGCCCTCCCCTGGCCTAGCCCGTCCCGGCTGGCTCCGCAGCCCCGCCCCCGCCCCGAGCCCCCTCCTCGACCACTGGGAGGGCGCAGCGCGCGCACCCCAACACCCCCCAGCGCCGGCGCGCGGGCCCCACCTCCCTCGCCGCCCTCTCACCTGAGACCACCAGCGCCTCGTTGGGCCCCACTGTGTGGCAATTGCCCATGGCGCCGGCGGGGCAGAGGGCCCGCGGGGACCGCAGGGACCTGACGGCGCCGAGCGCACTGGCGGCCGCGCCCAGCCTATCCCGCCACCCCCAGCGGCCGCCCGCCCGCGCCCCTCCGCGGTCGCAGCCCCGCCGGAAGTGTGGCGGCGGAGGGCGGGGCCGGCGGCGAGAGCGGCGGCGAGAGAGGCGGCGAGAGCGGCGGCAGCGAGCGCGAGGCGAGGCAGTCAACACGCTTTATTTCCTGGGGCCCAGCCCCCCGCGCCCCGGGAGGACGCCCCCTGACCGGGCCGCCCCATAACGAGCGCCCGGACTTGCCCCTCCTCCCCGCACCCACCCTGCCGCCGTCGGCCCGGAGTCACACCGCCCCTGCCCTTGCCGGCGGGGAGACGCGAGACCTTGGGCGAGTCCCTTCACTCCGCAGCCGAATCCCGCCTCGGCAAAGAGGGTCATTTAACTACCTGGCTACAAGGTTGCAAAGGGCCCAGTTCAGGAATTCGCAACTTGCACTCCATCAAATGACCACCTTCCCGGCCCTCACCCAGAGCTGATCGTGGGGACTGGTAATACCAAATTCAAATTCCTCAGAAGCAATGCTGGCGCATTTATCCCCCACCCCTGAATCTGGGATTATGGCTATTTTCAGGAAGAAACCATCGCCCACGATTTCATTCCACCAGGAAAAGAGCTGTTCAGGACATACTGTGGAGCCCCAGAAAAGAACCACAGAGGTAAAAATTGCAAACCCCTCAGTGCTCAGGGCATGGCCTGGCGCGCAGTGAAGGTTTCCAAGGGTCACCCAGTGCCATGGAAAACATCCCAGCCTAGGGATTAGGAAATGTAGGGCTCAGGTTCAGTTTGAACCTGGATTCTGCGTGTGACCTTAGGCAAGTCTTGCAAACTCTGAGAGGTGGGGCAGGGTTCAGAAACTGTGGGCTCCTCAGGGTGGGGGCTGCTCGGGGAAGATGGGGTCCTCGGGTCCTCAGGCTGGGAATCTTCATCAGCTTCAGCGTCCTTGCCAGGCCCCAGCCCTGCCAGCCTTTTGCTGGCCTCCCACAGCTGGTGAGCTGCACGGTCATCTCGGGCGGCTGGGGGAACCTCCTCCACATGGCAGTTGGCAAAATATCTCCCACTGAGGGGCTCAATGCCCTCCTGTAGAGCGCAGTACAGGGGTGTCTGGGCACCCCCTCTTGGTGCCCGCAGCATGAGCCAAGCTAGTGGGCGTAAGAGTGGGCACAGCCATCCAGGAACATGGCGCAGGAATAGCTCCGAGTTCACAGGCCCTGTGGACAGGAAGAAAGGAAGTGGGGAGGACGGTGGGTGAGGGTCCAGGGGAAGAGCAGCAAGAACAGGGCTAGAAGGGGATGAGGAACAGAGTCCAGTTCTAGGGAGACCAGAATAGTGTGGAATGGGCATTCAGGTCCCTTGTGGGGGACAGCAAGCCTCCTCCTTTCTATCTGGGCTCCTGTCCATTCTCATGTCCCAGATTTTCCTTGTGCCGCCCCCCCCCCCCCCGCCTGAGGGCACATTTTTCCTTCTTCAAGTCCTCTTCCTTTGTTTAAGCAGCAAAGGTATTAACACCAATGGCAGACCGGCCACTGTTTTGGACATGAGAGATGAGGAGTGTAATAAAAGCTTGATAACCATTAGTTGTGGTTATTGTCACTATTATAATTACTAGTGAGTCTTAGGCAATGACTATCTGAAGTGTGATATGGTGAGTGCTTGACTGGCTTGCTCATTAGAGCATGTGACTCCTGATCTCGGGGTTGTGAGTTTGAGCCCCACTTTGGGTGTAGAGATTAGTTAAAAATAAAATCTAAAAAAAAAAAAAATGCGGTATGGTAATATGGGTGGGATAGATCCTGTTATCCTGTGATCTGTTCCATAAGGCAGAGGTGGGCCTTATTCATCAGTTAACTCACTTAGCCTAAAAGCTAAAATGCTTACAGTGGATTTCCAGACCCTAGATGACTCGGCCCATCTCTATATCTCATCTCTTGCCACTCTCCTTCTCTCACTCTGTTCCAGCCACATGGGGTTCCCTATTCTTTCTCCAGCCTGCCAGGGACTTCTGCCTCAGGGCCTTTGCAAAGGCTATCAGCTCTGGTCTTTACACTCTTCTCCTCAGAAAGCCACATGGCTCATTCTCTCATCTCCTTCAGGCATCTACACAAATGTCACCTTTTCAGATATGTCTTCCTTGACTGCCACAGAAAAACAGCACCTCCTGTCATTTCATACCCCCCTCACTCTGCTTTATTTTTCCCGTTGCATTTTATTGCCACCTGTCATTGTATATATTTATTAGCCATGTCCCCTTCCCTTAAACTAGCATGTAAATTCTACAGGGAAAGGGTCTATGTTTTGTTCACTGCTATGTTCCCAGCACCAGGATTAATGGCTGGTATGTAATAGGTACTCAGTAAATGCTTTTCGAGTGAATAAGTAATTATTAGCCTTCCTCATCATTCTTATTTTTATAGTGAGTTCAGTCATATGGATGGCTTCTTGGAGTGAGAGCCTGGGCTTTATTAATTGCCATACCCTAACCAGTACTCAGCATCCAAGCTAGTGGTGTGAGGGGAATAACCCAGACAAGGAGAGCCTCCTTCCAAGATCAGCAAGGAACAGTCTCTCCTTATACCATGTTTCCCTCCTGTTCTGAGTTTCTGTGGCTCAGTGAGAGGCTGGGGGTGCAAAGGACAGGTTGAGGTTGAGAGAGGGGGAATGAAAGCCAACCAGAGCAGTCAGAGAGCCAGGCCTCACCTGGGTGGGCTGCATAGCAGGTGACACCAGTACCCTCAAGCTGAGTGGCGAGCTCCCTGGCAAATAGCACGTTGGCCAGCTTACTGTCAGCATATGCCCGCAGCTCCTGCTGCCAGCCCACCACTGGGCGGTCCAGGCGTGTGAAGTCGAGGCGCCCTCGCCTGTGGGCAGCTGAGGATACCACCACCACGCGGCTAGGGGCGCATGTCTTCAGCCGGGGCAGCAGCAGATGTGTCAGCAGGAAGGGACCAATGTGGTTCACTCGCAGCAGCAGGTTAAACGGCTTGTGGGTCCGGCCACAGGAACTGATCCCTGGGGCAGGGGCTAGATATGAGCAACTGCTCCACAGGGAACCCGGAAGGCCACAGTGTCCCCATCTGTGAGACAGTGGTAGGGGGCATCCTTCCCACATATCCAATGGGCTTTGGCAAGACCTGGCCGGAGGGTATGGTTGCCCACCCGCCGCCCCCCTGCAGGGCCTGCTGCCCCTCACCGGCATTGTGGATGAGGATGTCCAGCCGTGGCTCAGAGCTCAGGAAGGCAGTAGCAAAGGCCCGCACAGAGGCCAGACTGGCCAAGTCCAAGGCCATGAAGATGACCTCATTGTTCCCACTCTCCTGTGGGGCAGCAAGGGCTGGGCTTGTCACCAGGCATCTCTCTCCTCTTCCCTCTCCCCAGGTACCAAATTTTGAGAGTCCTCCTCATACTGTTACTAAGATTTGCCCTTAGGCAATAGAATGTAGTGGATAAGCATGTGGACTCTGGATGCAAATCTTGACTTTGTCTTTTATTAGAGTGTGACATTATGCAAGTGTTACATTAATCTTCCTGGCGCTCAGTTTTCTCACTGTAAAATGGGAATAATGTAGCACCTATCTCACAGAGTTGTTGTGAGGATTGAATTAATATACATAAAATACTTAGAGCCTGGCACCCAGTCAGCACTGTGTAGGTAGTACTTGGTATTATTATCATTCTCTCTGCCCATTATTGCTTATCCTGAAATCTACAACAGACATCTTTCTCATTGGTCTCCCCTCACCCACTCTTGCCCCCTCACCCCAGTCCAGGCATGTGCAGCCACTGAGGGGTTCCTCCTGAAAGGCTATTCTGACAGTCCATACCCTGCTGAGAACCCTTCACTAATACTGCTCCTCCTATAAAATCTGAGTTCCTCAATAGGGTCTATAAGGGCCTCCAGCATCTTCATTTTGCCTCTTTCCCCTATATTTTGTGCTCCATAAGCCTCAATAAGCCTTTTATTTTTTTTTAAACTCAAATCAGCTCTCTTGCCTCAGGGCCTTTGCATATGCTGTTCCCCCTGCTGTTCCTTTCCCTACCGTCTTTCATTAATGTAACTTTTACCAATCCTTAAACGTCTTAGAACAGCAATTCTTTCGCAAAACCCACTTCCTAGCTGGCGTCTGGTGTCCCTTCCCCGCATGGCCAGAGCACCAGCGGACCCTCTTTTCTGCACGTAACGACCAGTTAAGGGAGCCGCTGTGTTCACCCCTCTGCATCCCCATGTGTCCGTTTTCCGCTCGCCTCTCGCCCTCTCTGCCCCCCCCTCACCTGGCGGAGGTCGAAGGCGGCCGCCTCCCCGCGCTCCCGGCTCCGACAGGCCAGCACCACGCGTGCTCCCCGGCGCGCCAGCTCCAGCGCCGTCATCTTCCCGATGCCGCTGTTGGCGCCTGCGGTGGGCGGGCGGTGGGCGCGCTGAGCCCCGCGGGCCGCCGCCCCCGCCGCCCCCGCCGCCCCGCCGCCCCTCCCCGCCCGCGGCCAGCCCGCCTGCCCGGCCCCCGGCACTCACCCGTGACCACGGCCGTGCGGCCGCGCAGGCTGGCTATGCCGCCGCAGGGCGGGGCCTTCACGAGGTTGTAATAGATAAGCACGTAGGCGCCCAGCAGCAGCCCCGCGCCCAGCAGCAGCGCCTCCATGCCGGCCGCGCCGCTCGGCCCCCGCACCGGCCCCGCGCCTCCCCTGGATCGCCGCCCGCCCGGCGGCTGCCGGTCCGCCCCGCACCCGCTCGGGCCTCCCTGAAGGCGGAGGCGGAGGCGGAGGCGGAGGCGGAGGCGGAGGCGGGAGGCTGGGCAGGGGTGTGTGTGCGTGCGTGTGAGCGTGGGCCCTGCGAGCGCCCCCTAGGCATGCGCCTTCGTCCTGTAGGTGTGTGCTTGTGGAGCACCTTCTAGAGGTCCGTGTGGGTTGGGCCCTGGCAGCGCCCTCTAGGTGTGTGCCTGCGTGAATTCCTTCCAGAAGCGTGTTTGTGTGCAGGGGCACCCTGGCTATGTACACGCATCCACCTACTCTGAGTGTGTGAATGACTCATGAGTGTGTAATGTGCCCATGGGCCCTGGGATTGCCCTTCAGGTTGTGTGTGTGTGCCTGTTGACCATCTTTTTTTTTTTTTAATTTTTATTTATGATAGTCACAGAGAGAGAGAGAGGCAGAGACATAGGCAGAGGGAGAAGCAGGCTCCATGCACCGGGAGCCCGACGTGGGATTCGATCCCGGGTTTCCAGGATCGCGCCCTGGGTCAAAGGCAGGTGCTAAACCGCTGCGCCACCCAGGGATCCCTGTGTGACCATCTTTTACATGTTTGTGCCCACGTGGGCCAAGAGCCGCCCTAGGTGTGTTCGTTCATGCATCTGTAGTCTCTGCCGATGTGTGCTTGAATGAACATTTGCCTATGTAGCTGTCCTTTGTGCGCATGCCGTAGCTGAGGCCTTGCAGGAGGGGTTCACAGGGTGTGTGTAAGCCCTCTGGGTGTCAACTGTGAGTAGCAGAGACTTTCTCTTCTGGAGGGGTGTCTATGTACACGAATGCTGTTATGTCTGAGAGAGAGATCGGTCCTGGAAGCCTTGCCCTCCAATCCCTGATCCTCACTCCCAGCCCTTTGCTGCTAGAATTTTTCCTGATCTTCCTATAAAGGTCACAAAGAGATGAGGTAATGGTCAGGGTGGCACCATCTGTCCAGGGCTGTTATGATTTACTCCTTCATTAGCTGTTTATATCTCCCTGTCTCTGCTCCCCATCCTCTACATTTCTGAAGGGAAGCATTCAATGCGAAACCCATTATCTGACCTCCAGGAGGAAATTTCTCTGGGATGGTCCTCACAGGGGGTAGAAATAGGTGAAGAAGCTCCATGACTCAGTTTAAGAAGTGACTATGATGGCAAGGTAAGTGGGGACAGCTAAGGAGGGTTAGGGTATGGGTAAGGGTACTCCTGGCCAGGTGACTTGCCAGGACAAGGACTTGCCTGGATAAACCATTATAACTTAGCACCTGCTGTTTGACATTTATGGTGTGACCAGCAGTGTGGTTAGCCTTGGAAATACTGAACAGAACAAAGTTTCTGTCCTTGGGGAACTTGAGGCCCATCAGGGCATAGGGAGCAGTGGTGGAGGCTAAGCCAAACAGGTAGGTGGAAACTAGGAACAGACCTGATTCCAGGGGAGGGAGAAGTTTCCTACTTGGCTGCATTATGGGTTTGGGGTTCTATTGTAGACGCTGTGGGATGAAGCTGGGAATGGAATATTAATGAAACAAATGGGTGCATTCTCCATCCTCAGGGCAAAACCCTGACACACCAGCAGGTACCACTTCCTGGAACATTGCTGGGATAGACACACAGGTGATCTCTATCTAAGGAGTCAAATACTTGTCTTCAGGAAACACGTCCAAAAGAAAGTTTCTCATGTATGGTTTGAGAGGAGGAAAGGATGGGAGCTTGGTTTGCTGAGAGGGTTGTCAGGGCCTTAGAATTAAGGAAATGCCATGCACGCATCTTCTGATGAGCTGCAATTGTAGGGAAGTTAGGATCGCTAGTCATGTAAGTTGTGGCTTGACTGGGTCTAGAGATTGAATCTCTCCTTCGTGATGCTTCCCAGAGACATTTAAATCGACAAATTGTTCCACACTAGATTCTAAGCTCCAAGAGGCAGGGAGCACATCTGTCCTGTTGCCTGCTCACAGTGGGTTACCTAGACCAAGTCCCAAGTCCCATCAAAGGCCATGCAGAGAGGAGGAATGCAAGTGATACTTGGTTGAGGTGCTGCATGCCCAGCTAAGGCTGACAAGGATAAAGCCAGGCATTGACTTCTCCCAGAACCGATGAATTAAACAGGATAGCAAAAGACTGCAACCAAAGGCAGCCCTAACTCCTGAGGTTAGTGTTTCTAGGCCAGAAGGCAGAGGTCTTACGACAGCTCCTGTTTTCTTATCTTGGTTTTGGAGTCAACAGGAAGGGGCAAGGGCCCACTCTCTTGGATTCTTTTTTTTTTTCTCTTGGATTCTTGTATATGGTTGCATCAAGTGGTTTCCTCAAGTCACCCATAAAGCCAGACAACAGCCCCCTGCTCCCCCTTAGCAGAAGCAACCCTAGCCCTTCACTTTCCTATACCCATATTGGGCTTACTTTCCTTCCAGACCTCCCGCTCTCCTGCCTTCCCTTGGGGACTGTCTGGGAATGAAATGAATTCAGAGACTGCGACCAGGATCTTGGAGGAGGGTCCCCTCTGTAAGGGTGATGACAGGTAGGACAGACAGGCAGAAAACATAATTTTAAGTATTTTTGTTTTTTTATATACAGAATACAGGAAAGTTTCTGTAAAGTCTAAAACATTACAATTACTATGTACATTGGTACTACTAGGGGTGGGGGGGTGGGGAAAGGAGGGAGCCAGGGGTGGGAGGAACAGGAGAGAAGTGGCAAGAGAACAAAAAAAGGAGACAAAACAGGTTTACGACAAAAACGTTTTTGCTACAATAGACAATTTGAAGAAAACGCTCTACCACATGTAGTACTGTACAGTTTTTAAAAACATTGAAAAAATGTCATCACTGGATGTATTTACACAAAATCCAAATACACTTTTCCTTATTTGAAATAAAATAAATGGACAGCCAGAAAAAGAATTCATTTCTCATTTGTCCATAATACACAGTAGCTACCTGTAGTGCAACCGCTGCAGAAAGGGAAAATAACTTGGAGGGTAGGAACCACGGAAGTAGGGTGGGTAGCGATCTTTATATTAAATAAAACAATGATATTGTATAGATTTTGCTGTATGAAAACTGTATTTTTTCTTTTAATATAAAACTATTGTCACTGCCACAAAATAGAACAAGTTTCTGATTATTTTACAACGGCGGGGGAGGGGGAGGGGGCGGGAGTTGGGTGGGGAGCGGTTTCATGTTTGAGGACGTGTCCAGACCGCCAGCCTTCCCCTCCCTGCCCACGCTGTTCCTCAGCTCGGGTCTGCCGCTTTCCCATGAAATGTTGAGTACAAATGTATGTGCAAATGCCCCCTAGAACTTGAGAAAAGAAAAAGGATTTTTTTAAAAAACAGTCAAAGGTTTTTCTTCATTTCATGCAAAGATTGTGGTTGAAGGGTTTCTGGTGGAGTCTAGAAAAAACCCGGGCTTGGTTTGTGTACATTTTTGCATCGCAGGAGTCTTGGGTGGGGTGGGTGGGCGGGCGCTGGGGCAGCTGCCCGTCCTAGGGAACGGAGTTGGAGCGCAGCACAGGGCCCTGGTGGGGCTTGAGAGATAGCTTCTCGGCCAAGACCCCATCCTGCAGCAGGCCGGCATCGCCTCTGGGCTGTTTGGTCGCAAACTCAGTGATGCTGAAGACGAACTGCAGGCACCCCAGCTTGATGTAGCTGCCGTGGTGCAGTAAGGCCGTGCCCTCCCAGCCGGCCCCACTGCCCCCAATCAAGCTCGAGCTGCTGGCTTTGCAGTTGCAGGGTCTCCGCTGTGGCCCCTGGGCCTGGGAGCTCATCACGGCTGCCTCCTCGCTTGGCTCCTCATCCTGTTTCTGGTGCCGGCGGCGCCCTGGGAAGAAAGAGGGCCATCACTGGGAGAGGAATGGTGAGAAGCCAATCCATCTGGGCTGTTTGCCCCTGGCTGGGGCTCTGTTCCTCCCCTTTCTTTTTCTTTTTTTTTTTTAAAGATTTTATTTATTTATTCATTCATGATAATCACACATACAGAGAGAGAGGCAGAGGGAGAAGCAGGCTCCACGCAGGGATCTGGACATGGGATTCGATCCCAGGTCTCCAGGATCACGCCCTGGGCCAAAGGCAGGCGCTAGACCGCTGCGCCACCCAGGGATCCCTGTTCCTCCCCTTTCTAAATGCTGTGTGCCTAGGGCTGAGGGACACCGGGAAAGGCCCCAGGGAGCTGGAAGTCCTTAAGGAGGTGTATGCACCCATAGCACTGGCTTCTCTGTGGCTTTCCCTGGGCCCATGGGCAAGGAGAGCCTGGTCAATGGGACCAGGAAGGTGAGAGCAGGTCATTGGCAGCAAGCCAGAGCCACCCTGACAGGGGTCTTAACACAATGTGTCCAAAAATGGCCAGCTTTGTGGCCACAGGCTCCAACTTACTGATGACATTCTGCACTTTGGCAACAATACTGCTTGGGGGGGTTGGCGGGGTCTTCTCGGAGAAGTCACATGAATACAGCACATTGTCCACCGTTGTCCCGTGCTCACTGTAGTTTAACAGCTCATAATGTTTGGTATTCTGAGGAGGAGGAGGGAAGATAAGATGTGTGGTCTGCTGCGTGGGGCCTGGGGCTAAGGGGAGAGAGGACACATGGAGAAGGCTGTGCTGCTCTACCTCGGGAGCTCTCTTTCTTCCCCAGTCAAGCCCCCCCCCCCCCCCACTTCCCTGTCTCTTTAGAATAGGGCTCAAGATTCACCTCCTCAGGGAAGCCTCCCTTCCCAGTGCCCCACAACCCCCGCTCTCCCACTGCTCCTTTACTCTGCGCCTCCTTGGCACGGGCTCCTGCTGAAATGCTATCCACTGGCACAGAGGGTTTGGCCTCCTCCTGTGCTGGTCCCCTGGCCCTGCTTTCGGGTGGGCTCCCCCTGCTGAGCCTGTGACCAACCTTAGGAGAAACGGCAATCCTCCTCCTAGGGAGCAGGATAGCCATGGTAAGATGCCCTTTCACGCCAAGACTCTTCTCCTCCAGGAATGACAGGGAGGGAAGAAGAGAAGACCTCTCCCTCCTTGTTCCCCTCACCCAGGGCACGGAACAAAACCCTACTGCCTAGGAGAGGCCTCAGGTTGGGAGAGCTCCCTCCCACCCCATTCCCAGCCCT